TTGGTTTCAACAACTATGAAGCTGTTGAAATCTGTGCTCGACTTCGACCAGCTCGCACAAGGGGTTGGGAGAAGGAATGGCAGCAGGTAAAGTTAACCCTAATTATTCCGAACAACCATACCACTTTAATAACTCGAGAAAACAGAAAAACGCGATCAACAAAAAAGAAAAAAAAATAATCGATAATATTCATAATACCATTACAAGCCGAGTCGCCCTGGCCTTTACAAGCCTGAAAATAGGCCTAGGGCGACAAACAAAAAACGACGACAAAACAGCAAATCATAAAACGAAGACGTCATAACGGGCACAATCCCAAGATGAAATAAATCTAAGACTCAGCGTCTGACTTGTCAACAGCATCGCCACCGTCGTCGACAATTGTGGTGGTTTTCTCAGCATCGGCCCCCCCTTGCTCTTCATCATGTTCGTCGACAAGCGGCTCCGTGCCCTGCTAGACTTCCTTCTCATCCCCCACGTGATCAGCCCCACTCGATTGAACCAGGTTGATCGGGCCAGTCAAGGGGGTAGGAGGAACTTCGAGTTGAGAGCTCAGCCCGGCCTCGAAAATAGCACGAGCCTCGAGACCCGACCACCACTGATGATCACCGAGAAGAGAATCATCATCTGCATATCCCACGGGGTCAGGAAGGGTCTCTTTCAAAGCGTCCTTGTCGACCTTTCCAGCCAGCTCGGTATTCGCCACCGCGGACTCCCAAGCCGAGAAGGTGAAATCAAAGTACTCGATAGCGGTAGGGACCAACTCATCGAGGAAGTCGGTGGATTTGCAGAAGGCCTTGACGACCTCCTTGCGATAGGTCTCCATGAAGATGGAGCCCATCGGAGACTTCAAGAACGATCTCCTCCCCTCCTCGACGCCGGCCTCCTTCTCGGCCAGGGTTTCCTCACGAGCCTTCTCAAGGTCGGCTTTGAGCTTCTCGTTGGCATGGCGAGCTACGGCCTTGTCGGCCTTCAACTTGTCGATAAGGGCCTGGGCGGCCTCAAGATCCTCCCTCAGCTCCTCGATTTCTTTGCGCTGAGCCGCGCATTTATCCTCGAGGGACTTGGTAGAAACAACAGGGGCCTTGCTGCACTCCTCGAGGCAGGGGAGCGCTGCCGCCAGAAACTATGCAAAACACGATTCGAAGGTGGGTAAGACAAGTCGAAAATATACGTAATCAAAGGACCAGTAAAGGGAAAGAAAGATACCCGAGTGAGCATTTGTGTAGCATAGCAAGAGCATTCATAGAGATTTCCCTCGACGCGTTTCTTGTCGGCCTCAGGAATAGTAGAGTTGAGATACTTGGCCACGTGATACGGCTCTGGGTGGTTCCAAAGCCGAGAAGGCATCTTAACAGTCACGTCCTTGACGGTAATGTCCGTCGTAGTCTTCTCAACCACTTTCTCTTTTCTCTTGTCGACCTTGCGACGCTTGAGGTCGTCAGGGATCAGAATTAAAGGCCGATTATCTTGAGGTCTCTTGCGGGACCCCGAACCAGACTGTTTGTGCCGACCAGAGGTACCAGGGGCCTCGACTCGAGACTTCCGCGCAGTAGCCGTCTCGAGGGCCGTTGTAGCAGCCTTTGACCCCGACCCGCCGGGAGGAGGGGGACCAGAACCGACAGCCGGTTGATCGACTGATTGTTTCTTTTTAAGCTCAAAATGCTTAAGGGCGGCGACTAAAAAAAAAGCAACAAACAAGAACACACGATTAGTAAAATGGAGCTAATCATCGACAAGAAGAAAAAATAGTACACGAAGAAAGCATGCAAGGGCTACTAATAGCTTACGCGGATCATCGA